AAATAAAAATCGGTTATGTAATAATAATAATAATAACAATAATAATATAATAAAAATTATTAAACGAGAACAAAATCTTTGAAAACATTCAGACATCAATAATATTATCATCATACTTGTACCTCCAACTAAACTGCACAGAAAAATAAAATAAGACAATCGCAGGTAAAATAATACAATCATGACCATTAAAATAATAAAAACCATAAGATGGATAGCAATAATAATAATAATAATAAAATTAAAAGATATTTTTAAACCAGCGAATATAAATAAATAAATAATGATTGATGAGTGATTAAGTGCGTCTTGCTCAAGGCTAACACCCTCGTCCTCGTCATCTTCATCATCATCTCGCTATCAGTCATTGTTATCAATCATCTTTTTTCGTCATTAAATATCATCATCGATCTTCTTGTCATCCCAATATCATTATTGTCCTTTTCATCATCAAAAATTCTGTTTTGGTAGTCGTTGAGGAAATGACAATGGCCTAATCTTAATTGTCCTAATAATCTTCTTGTCTAGGTAGTGTCTGTTCTGTTGGATTGATAATAGGAGTTTGTGCAGAGTTATTTCTTTCATTGAGTAAAATTGGAGGTGTGTAGTTTTTATTTGATATTGCTTCTCTGACTGAGCTGGTGTGAAATTGTTTAACTACTCGGCGGGTGGTCTATCTGGTCATTTGGAAATAGATGAACTGTTGAATGGTGCCATGGTATTTAGTTTGGAGAGTGTCCTTGATTTGTCGTTCACTAACTTGTTGGGAGGTGATGTGGCAAAGATGTGTTGGGTCTCGACAATAGGGTCAACAATTATGAAGAAAGCAAACTGGTATGTTGGATAAGAGAGAAAATTTTACATTCGCGTTGAAGATGCTCATGTGAAGTGAGGTTGTGGCAGTCAAACACTAATCATCGCCAACATCTCCATCGTTATTGTCATCATCCCATCCACAACGAAGATGATGACTGAACCATAAAAAAAAACCATCATCGTCGTCATCATCGCCACGAAAGTTTTATTTACACTAACGATTTTCAACGTACTCTTTGTGCACGTCACACACTCACATCATCATTTGATATCACTATACAAATAATAATAACAATAATAATAATCATCATCATCATCAGTGATACAATCACATAACCATCAATAACATATGTAGGGAATAGTACATGTGTTATTGACGGTATGTATGTATGTATGTAGGAATGTATGTACACAAGTATACACACACACACACACACACACACACACACACATATATATATATATATCATCACTTTCATAATTACTACATCATCATCACCTTAATAACCATCATTATCATAATCAATATCGTTATCTACGTCATTCATAATCAAATAATAATAATCCAATCATCAACATCAACATCATCATCATCATTCATCATAGTCACGCGTAATTTGAAGAAATGATAGTATATATAATTGTATACTGCATATATACATATATATACATATATATTTATGTATATATATATATATATAAGTGTATATATAATATATAAAAAGTATATTAAAATAGTTTGTTCAATAGAAAGTGAAACTAAATAATAAAGATAACCTTATGTTTGTGGAGAAACTGTTGAAAAACGAATCAAATAAACGATAAAACGATAATAATAATAATAAATAATAATATAAATAATAATCAGTTGAAAGGGAGTGATTGTTTTAGTTAGAGTTGTAAAAACACGAAAAAAAATTGTAAAAACACATAAAAATGCTCCGTACATATGCTAGTAATAATAATAATAATAAAAATAATAACATAATAATAATATTATTATTAGTAGTAGTAGTAGTATTACAAAGGATATATTAGTTTTAGCGTGAAGGAAAAAAGCAGAAAAATGGTGGTAGTAAAATTAATTTATAAAACAATAACAGCAATAGTAGCAGTCGTAGTAGCAGCAGCAGCAGTAGTACTAGTAGTAGAAGTAGTAGTACTAGTAGTACTAGTAGTAGCATTAGTAGTAGTAGTAGCAGCAGCAGCAGTAGTAGTAGTAGCAGTAGTAATAGTAGTGGTTGTAGTAGTAGTAAAAACCTGGTATATGTAAAATGATAGCAGTAGTAATGATAACAAAACTTCTGTGGCGATTCATAACAATAATGATAATATAAATATTAACAATATAATAATAATATAAATAGAAATATTATAAGTAATAATACAAATATTAATAAGATAAATGACAAATAACAAACAAATAATTATAGATAAAAAACAAACATTCATGATTTGAAATGTCTCGTTCACCCAAGTTATAAAAAAAATATTCATCATTAGTGCAACCCGAATGCAATCCAATTGTCATCATAAACACCGTCTTCGTCATCATCGTCGTCATCATTCATAATCACCATCACCATCATCGTAGTCATCCTCCTCCTCCTCATCATCATCATCAGCAGCATCAACACCAACACGCAAACAAATAATTTTAATGGGCTTTCTTAAACAGCATCCAGCAAAGATTAAACTCCAATACCTTCTATTTCAATATGCATGCCAACCAACTCACGATCCAACCCAACAACCCATGTACACACATACATGTATGTTCATATCTGTGTGTGTGTGTGTGTGTGTGTGTGTGTGTGGTGTGTATGTGTGTGGACTCGTTACTTATAAAGCACAGAGATATATAAGCAAAATTATAAACCAGTGAAAATTAAAATATTAGGCTACACACAAACAAATGTATACAAAAAAGAAAATAAGACGAACATTCCCTTGAAACTCATACATGTATAGAAACATAAAAACACACACATACATACATAAAGAAACATAGGCTCATGGAAACACGATCACAAACACATGCATACATACGCACACACACAGCCATAAAATCTAGATGAACGTAAAGATAAAATTTTAATGACGATTTCACTGGAACAGCATGATAAAATTGAGATGAAAACAGAGAAAAATAGAGAAAAAAAATGACTGACTGGCTGAAAAATCCAATTATGCCCGGATACGGAATTTTGTTATTTGCTGTCGTTGTTCACTTAATACCCAGAAACAAACGAACATGCATACACTGGCATTACACAAACAATTATACATTACATGAAACCCGAACAAACCTTAACGTGATATAAACCACAAACAAACGTGTACACATCATACAGCCCATTTTTAATTAAAAATCACGATTTATAAGAAACATTCACGGTAATCACAGCAACAACAACAGCAATAACAACAACGATAACAATAAATAGTATAATTGAAAACAATTTTCTACATTCAGCCAATCCTAAGTACAAACAAACAGGCAAACAAGCTCTCAAACTTTCACACAAGAAGGAAAGCAACAAAGTCATACTTTCGTAATTTTTAACCCCCGATAAAAATTTGCAACTCCGTCATAATTTTAAACGTGAGCGCGCACAACGAACACGCACACACAAGCGTAAAAATATTTCCGTATTGTCAATCTAAATATATGTATTTAAAAAATCTCCCTCCCTCCCTCCGTCTCTCTCTCTCTTTCTCTCTCATATGTATGTGCTTGTGCGTGCCTACATCATCAATCAAAAAAAAAAAATGAAAAATCTAAATAGCTGAATTTATAATAAATAGACTGAAGTAACTACAATAACAACAATAACAACAATAATAATAATAATAATAATAATGGATGATAAAAATAAAAATAATAAATTTCGGAGCAATAATAATAATAATATTAGCACCAATGGCACAAAAAGCATTAGAAACGTTTGCTAAAATCATCGAATGATGGAAAGATAAAAACACTGACAACACAAGAAAAAAAATTATCAACATAACCACAATGAATGAATGAATGAAAGAATGAATGAGTAAATGAGTGATTAAATAAATGAGTGAATAACAACAACAAAGCTAACAAGAGTCTATCACAATAAGCTATAACGCTAAAAACAAATCTACAACTGTAATTCATATTTTAATGATAATCACAATAACAACAATAACAATAATAATAAAATTAATGATAATAATATAATATTTACATTACATTTCCGTTTATAATAGTAATAATTCAATAAAAGTAATGCCGCTCATATAATAATAAAGATGTCAAAATTAAGATAAAAATTGTCTTAATTGTAAAAAATCAGATATATATCTATCTCTCTCTTTCCCTATCTCTCTCTCTCTTTCTATATATATATATATATATATATATATATATATATATATATATATATATATATATATGTGTGTGTGTGTGTGTATAATTATGTACAAATGTGCATTTGCGTAAGCCCCATTAGGTGTTCTGAATAATTTGTGAGGTTTCGAACAAATCAAACAATGAATGGCCGATTAGCCAATGAACAATTGTATGTATGTGTGTGCATCCCATGTGCACGCACATTCGTATTCGTATAGCATTCGTATCACTGAAGAGGAAGAGGATGACGGTAGTGACCAGAGCAACCACAGAGACGACCAATGAGAACATCAAGTTCGTTGTCACATGCACATCTCCAATCTCTCCCTAACTTGAAGTTGTTGATGAACTTCAAGTGGGGTGCTCCAATCTTTAAGACTTCATGCAGACAGATTGAAGGGAAAACTGAATCACCAAAATTATCATCACCTTCGTGGTACTCATCATCGTTATTGCGCATTCTCTCACCCAGTCGATCTCTTCTTTGTTTCTCCATTAACTTTATGCTGATCAGGTTAGGTATGTTCATTTTGGTGATGTTTATGCAACTGCAGTTCTGCAAATCCAGTGATGTCAACGAGTTTGAGGAGATACTCCAGAGTTCCACATTCAAGAATTCGCTCAAATCAGCTTCAACTGTGAGGTGCTGAAGGTGGGGCATGCTGACCAACAACGTATCCAAGTACCTCAGCTCCAGTTTTGTAATGCTGTGTTGACACTTCATAAGAACCAATGACTTCAACTTTTCCAGTCTGCACAACATCCTCACCGACTTCTCCGTCCACTCAAACGGCAAAGTTAGGCATTGAAGTTGATATGCGACCTGTGTGAAGTTGTCAAAGAAAAGATCAAATCTTCTCAATCGGCGTCGTTGTTTCAGAGCAATGTCGTTTTGATTTTCTCGAAAATCGATGTTGTCAAAGTTGATGTTATTGAAGTTGATAACGTTGTTGTGGTTGACATTAATGTTGTTGTCGTTATTGAAAACATCGCCCCTGGCAGCACCAATAACATTGATAGCTTGAGATGATAAAGATGACAGCGATGATGACAATAACAAAGAGGAAGTTGACGACAAGGATGATGACAAAGATGGAGGAGATGCTGCCCGAAAAGCTCTTCTGGTCCAATCGATGTAAGCCACACATAAATTCTCAACATCGATAGAGTCGATGAAGTTGTGCAACATCTCAACCCAGTCTGAGCAGTCAATCAAATCAATTGAAAACTTCAAGCTATGCACGTGTGGCTGGATGCCTGCTATGAAATCAGCAAACTTCCTCAATTTAACTCGATAATTTTTGTAACATTCCTGATTTTTACATATCACAGATAACATTTGGGATGAAGAGTTTGATGACGTGAGAGCATCAGCCTGACTGAGTTTGAAACATCTTGCTGAACACCGACATACGAACTGAATGCTGGTCAGATCGAGTTCTTTCCAGAGAGTTGCATCCATCAACAACTCACTCCAGTCAGAACAAACTTGACGACATTGACCTTTCTGAAGTGTTGTCAGATTTGAAAAGATCTTCAGCTTACATTCCAATGGCAAATCATTGAACGAGGTTATGTCTTTGATGTTGCTGGCTAGGGAGAGAATATTATTCAACTGGGTTAACTCTTTCTGTTGAAGAATTTTATTATTGTTGTTGTTGTTTTTGTTGTTTGTGGTGATGATGTTGTTGTTCTTAATGTTCTTTATGTTGTTGATGTTGCTGCCGGGTTGATCGTTATCTTGAGATGACGTCGACAAGCAGAAGAACCACCTCAGATGGTGGAAGATGGATTTGACTCTGTTAAAGATGTTCTGCTTGATGTTGCTGCTACTGTTGTCTGCAGGTGTTTCCATAACCTAGCTGGAGCAATTTTATGAACAGATCAATTGTTAGTCTAACAGATTAACAGATCAATTATTATTTCTTGACATCATTCAAGAAATTAATCCAAAGATCAACAGCAATAAACACTTTTTTGAAAAACTTTTTTCTTAAAAATGCTAATTGTTACAAATAAAGAAAAAATTCAACAGTAAATCAATATCTGTACCTTAATATATGAGTAATAATTAAAAATGCTTAATCTATAAACAAACTGATAAAATTTATGATGAAAAATAAACTACAGACAATTATTTAAAAATTCTTGTCATGTGGATTCCCATCTAATTATGTGACATATTTCTTGAAACTGGTTGCAAATTAAAATTGTTTAAAAACATATTATAGTATAATACATATTTATATAGTGTATAATAATTATAGAGATATAAATAGCATTTGAATAATTATCTAATCATTATATCAATTTTTGTCTGAATTTTTAATAATTCAGTTGTGCTGATTTTATTAAAAATCAATTTCCTCTTCCTATATCTTATTAAATAGAAGATATAAATGAATAATACGCTAGTTTTTAAACACTGCATACCTGTTAAATCTAAAAACAAAGAAAGGCACAAAAAAAATTTTAAATATTTTTTCTGCTCTTTTCGTTCTGTTTAATGTTAGATAAAACTAAAAGCCTGCATTTAATTAATCTTCATTTTCAAGTGCTTCTGCTGGCTGAGTGATGAAAGAACACTTAAGCAAGAGCTAAATTTATTCCAAAAAACTTTTAAAAAATATATTTTAGCTGAAACTAATAGTTTATACATATATTATATATATATATATATATATAAAGGTTAAATATAAAAACATTCCATAGTTTCCTATTCCAATGCAAATCATTCATATAATAAAAAGAAAAGACAAATAACTTTCATTCATATACTACACCTCTAAATCAAAGGCAATTCATCAAAAATGCTAAACTTAAAAAAAATTGTTACAAAAAAAGTAATAATTTTCATTATTTTATTAATTATTAATATCAAAAAACAGAAAAATTCATTTGTTTAAACTCTTGATTTTAATGCTTACAAACTTATGAAAATTTATTTAATAACTTATTAAAAATAAAAAAAAATATTTTAAGAACAATAAATCAGATTTTAATAATAAAATAAAAAATGTTGAAAAATAAATGAACTTTCATTTAATTTTGAAAACTTTTAAAAACGGAAATAAATAAAAAGTTATTTAATAATATTAAAAATATATTTTAATGATCAATTATTATTAACCTGCAAGCAAAAAATGAACAGATGAAAGAACATAAAATGGAAGAAATACATTTAATTATATAATTAATATAATATATATTATAATAATTTAATAATATAATAATAATTAGTGATTATTAGTCACAAATTCAGCATTGTTAGCAAAAGAAACACTAGCCTGGGAACAAAGGGTTTGCCCGCTTAAATAAAAATCTTATTCTCTTCGTTTGCTTGATCATTCCAGAAATGAAGCAGCATAACCGTCCCTAAATAACTTACTAATCCCTAACTGGTGGGCTGCAATTAAACCCCTAAAATCAAAATTATTCTCGCTTCTTAAAACGACTTTTTAAAGCACAGCTGATTTCGTCCTTCTTGACAGCTGCGAAGAGATTAGCTATCCTGCCGTAGATTTTATATTTAATTTTAGATCAAATGTTAATTAACCTGCCAAGTGAAATGCCCAAATGAAACAAAGTAACAAGTTGTTGAGTGATTGAGGTATGAGACGATTTAAATAAATGTTCTATTTCGTTTTTCGGTTCAGTTTCATCATTATGGAAACTTAATTCATTCAATCAAACGACTCATTTTAAAGCGATTTTTTACATTAAAGTTACCTATTATAAATGATGGCTGGTAATTGTTTTAATTTAACTCAGTCCTACTCACTACTCAGTTGGGCAGAAAAGACAAACGAAAGGACAGGCAACAACAGGTTCACACAGCAAGTTACGAAGGATAGAAAGGAGGGAATCAATCGATCAATTAGTTTATAAGGCGCTATTTCCGCGATGTTCAACAGCGCCCTTCAATGAATTTTGCAAACAGATGTTTCTTGAGATCAGCTCTGAACTTTGTAAATGATAGAGAAGTAGGTAGAGAAAGGGGTGGAGAGTTCCAGAGGAAAGGGCCAGAAAAAGCATGGGCAGATTTAGCAAAAAGAGTGTTTAACACGAGTTAAGAAAAAGTAAGAACAAGAAGGCGATTGTAACGTAAACCGAGGCGTAAGAAAGGAATGTATGAAGGAACAGACTCTCACAGCAAGTTAGAAAGGATAGGAAGGAAGAAAAGAAAAAAGAAAAGAAGGAAAGAATGAATAGGAAGGAGTCAGAAGGAATCGGCAATCGAAAACAATCTGAACATTTGAAAACATTTTATTAAACAACTTTTTAAAATATACCTAAGCACGCAGATGAAAATAATCACGTAATTATCCAATGCACATATACCTACAAACATGAACATCGCACATGCACAAACATGCACATGCACGAAAATGCACAAAAATGCACATGCACACGGAAACGTAAGAGATGCAATGCAAGCAGAGAGAAAGTAGAGAAACAAAAAAAATCAAGAAATTTTACACAATATATATTATAATATATATATATATATATATATATATATATATATATATATATATATATATATAGGACACGTACATATTAATATGATATATGTACATTTACAACAATCTAAACTGATTCACTTAAGGATATAACAAATGGAAAAGCGGCTACCTAACGACCATCAAACGACGATGTAGTCAATGGAAAGATCTATTCTTCCTAATCATAAAGTATCATCTATCTATAACCAATCTATTGAAAAAGCATTATTTATCTTTACTATATATATATATATATATATATATATATATATATATATAACCAATTTGTAAATTTGTGAGTGAGCTGAATATATTGTAAAATAGAAACACAAACTATAGAGTTAATTTGTAATTATCAGAGACAATTATTATTCAATAATGAGGCATTAAACTAAAAAATGGTTTTGAATAATAAGTAGTACACCCAACGTTAAGTTAGGAACAACCTAAACAAAAAGAGGTAGGGACGCATGTCACATGTTCCCGAAAATTCCGGCAAATGTTTTGCGCAGGTTCTTCATCGTGTCCTCGGAATCTTCAAGGTCTTTGGCAACTTCACTTTCCGACATTTGTTGTTGTGGTTGGAATTGTTGTTGCTGGAATTGCTGTTGTTGTTGTAGCTGGAAATGTTGTTGCTGCTGCTGCTGAAATTGTTGCTGTTGTTGGTTGCTGTTCAACATCATTGGAGACTGATGTGCTGCTAGTGTTCTGTGCATTGGATGTATGAGGAGAGAGATGATGATGATGAGGAGGAGGATGGCTGTAATGATGACTGTCATGACGACTCGGATGATAGCAATAATGATGGTAAAGGTGATAATTAAGATAATGAGAATGAATAAATAAGTTTTTCGAAGTAAAATTATTGCGGTTAAAATCATTATAATGATGATAATGAAGAACAATATGACTCTTTATTAAAAAATACTGCACAACTGTCTTAAAGCGCCAAGAAGAAGGTTACTGTTGAACGCAGATAGTGTTCTAGAGGTTTGATTTTGGAACAACATGGCAAAAACCACGACTTGATATGGCTAGTGCGATATTGATAGAATAGGTTGAGGGACGAAAAATGTAATGAGAAGATTTTGCATTTGATACTAAAATAAACTGTATGAGAAGAACTGATGAATAATGATGTAGAGATATTCTGTGGCTTTGTTTGTTGAAAATGAAGCTCTGTGAATTAGTTTTGTACGGATTTCAATATTTGAGGACCATCGAAAATGCTGCAGAAAGATGAGCGATCGTAGATGAGAATTAAATCAAATAACCAGACATCGAGATAAAATAAGCCGTTAACAATTGCTTGACATGCAAACTGTTATGAAAAGCAAGAATTAAGAAATAAAAGAAATTTATAGGACGATGGTGACGATGGCGATGATGGAAAGTTCAAAGAATTTCATTTATTTATTTATCCGGACCATCAATAAAAGACTAACGCATCGAATTCCATCGGCATAGCTGTGGAGGCAGGACTTGGACCTGGAGGACCCGCCATGGGCCGACTGTTCACTACTGACATTTGACTGATTGACGCCGATTTGCTAAAAATTATTTGAAAATATAATTAAGGCTCAATCTAAAAAAAATTTAAGGGTTGTATAATAAATAATTAACAAGGGTAAGATGGATGAAAACATGAACTGATCGATGTCGATGTGAGGTTTGAAAATGAAGATTCATGAGCAACCGACTACACAAACTAGAAAACGATCGTGACCAATTTGCTCATAAAACTCAAATCGACAGAACATGATTGCAAGATGCGCTTCCTTTGATGTACTTGTGAACCAGCAATGCTAAAGTTTGAAGAAACACGCAGTATAATTCAATAATGCTCGAATGTTCAAAATTATCGTTCATTGTGATTGAAAGATTCAAATAAATTTTGATGAAGATGTTGCACAAAAAATAAGCTTCAGACAAAAAATAATTTCATTCAGTGTTCATTTGACAACGACAAGCAATTGAATGTTATTTAAAACTTTTTATGCCAACTGGTAAACTATCAACACCTAAAAATACCTGTCCAACTCTCAAGTCATCAAACGGAATGATAGCTAAAGAAATCGTCTTAATTTAAACAGAATATTTGAACGTAACAAACAGAAGAATTTTCAAAAAAATTCATGCCCCTTAAGCGGGCATGTGCAATCCACCTCCACCACCACCACACGTTCAATTCAATTTTTTATTGAACCACACCATACAATAAAATTTTCTTCACTGGACTACAACTTCTCCGAACATTTCATTAGACCAAATCCCACTGCACCACAGCCCACCACATCCAACTACCTCATTTCTTCCCTGCAGTTAGCTTCCATCTTGTTGATGATAAGACTGGCGATCAACTTCCGGTCATCTTCCTGGGTCTCTCCCAACAGAGGCATCGTGCAGTCGTTGATCTGTTCTCAGTTATAAAGGTGGTCAATCGATCGATCAATCTATCAGTCAATCAATCAATTTGTCAATCATTTAATAAGTAACCTCACTAAATGAAAAAGTCTAGAATTTAAAATTAGTATTATTAAACTTAGTTCTACATCAATAAGCTTGGTATATTTATCGAAAAAGATTAACATAAAGTTAAATTAAACCGGTATGTGTACGTATGCAAATGCAAACACACACAAACACAACACCACACACACACACACACAACACCACACACACACACACAAACACCACACACAGAAAGAGAGAGAGAGAGAGAGAGAGAGAGAGAAACTCACAGAAACGCACTTACTCATTCACTCACACACATAAACACAAACACACACATAAACACAAGCAAAGAGAAAACCTCGAGTATGTATTCATTGCCATCTTTTCCCATGATCGCCTCAATGGCCACCATGTCCAATCCACCAAATAACTCGGAACATTCATCAGCCCACCTTTTATATCTGTGTCATCGTAAATTAATTGGGTCAAGTCAGGATCGGGTTAACGTTGGGCTAATGTTAAGATTGATGGTACGTTAATTACAATAAATATTTTTATTACCAGTACTGTTATCATATCGTCATCATCATCGTCATAACAATTAATTATTATTATCATCAAGTTCATCATAATATATCGTTATCATGATTTAGCCTGGTTCTTATGGGCAAGCAGGCGATGTAATTGCATACAATGGCTGATGTGTGTGTTGTTTTTTGATTTTGACTTTGCATTCTTTTTGCAAACAGATTATCTATCGTCAGATTAATTTTTTTTTTGAGTCTCATTACAAAATTTTCCTTGTTGATAAATTCAGTTTGAAACTCTATTGTATAAAAATAAATGTGATTATTTGGCGAAAAAAACTGGGAGAACAAAAGAAAATACCTACACACTTCACTGGACATACGTTATTGCATTTTATTATTAAATCGGCAATTCAATTTCGAAAAACTTTACTAAAGCCTATTCCGATTATTACTATTATTTTATTATTATTGCCGTTGTTATTATTATAAATGTTTATTATTATTGTTATTATTATCATTATACTTTTTATTATTACCTTTCAGTTGTGGGTATTTGCTCAAGCATAGATGAGCCCGTGTTAACCTTCCAGTTGCCCGATATGGACGTTCTCCTATTGTATACGTACATTGACTGCATCTCAATCGATCGTTTACACAATCAAATATAATTATAGCCATTTAGTTATAGTCATTTAATTATAGTCATTTAATTATAGCCATTTAATTATAGTCATTTAACTATAGTTATTTAATTATAGTCATTTAATTATAATTATTTATACATGCAATTATTAATTAAAAGATGACGGTGACTGAGTTGAAATGTTTAAAGGATGAAATAACTTTTTATTTGGTTGGTAAATAAAGTTAGTTATTAGTTGGAAGTTAGTGAGAATATTCTTGGCAAAATTACATTAATCGCCAATACCGTTGAATGAATGGCTAACACAAAACTAGAAACAGATCTAAACGCAGGAATAACTAATATAAATAAAAAATTAAATAATAATTAAAAATAGTAAAAATTCAACAACAACATTTAATCAATGTCAGTTACGAAAGACTTTTATTCTGTGAAATTTATTCTATTCATAACTGGTGAAAAATTATTTTTTATTACAACGAAAAAAAAAAATTCACTACGTGAATGATTTGTAGGTATCGCCGATCTTCTGTATGTGGATGTCGTACTTGCTGTCAATGAATGGCTCAGTGACGCAGTAACAGCCCGACAACGCCACTAAACTAATTATGTCCTGGAAATCGTAGTGGTTGTCAATCTTCACAGTCCCCAGGCCAGCGTGGGCATGGCCTATTTTCACCACAACTGGAAAGTGGGGTGAGACCAGCTGTTTTTTTTTTTAGGAAAGTGATGTTGGTGGTTGATTGTATTGTAAATGGCTGCTATTTATTTGGAAGATATTTTGTTACGTTATGTGGTTGGTTGCAAATGTCTGTTTTAGGGCTGGCTGTTGTATTTCACCGGTCAGTTAATTAAACCATCATCATCATCATCATCATTGCCACCATCATCATCATCATCATCATTGATATCATCATCAATGCTATCATCATCATCGTCATCAATAAAAACAACATCATCAACAACAACAACAACACATCATCATCATCCTCGTCATCAACAACAACCAACATCAACAACAGCAGCAACAACATCGTCATCAACAACAACATCATCATCAACAACAACACATCATCATCATCGTCGTCATCGACAACAACAACAGCAGCAGGAACATAGCAAACCATCTCTTTATGGTTGGGGAAGTATGTTTGTTCGATGAGCGGGAACCGAGCCCTACCTAAACGTT